CAATTAAGTTTTGATTATGAAATTAGTTGGTATTAAGTGTTCAGATGCTGGAGCTCACATTCTCTGTGTGCTACCATGGGGAACCACAGCTTCTCCCTGCTTCAAGAACAGTGCATAGTGGAAAGCTCATTATATACTGAAGAGGTAGAAGTTTCACCAGAAAAAGAAGTTTCCTTGGGAATTTAGCACATAGAATGGAAAGGGAATAAAGTCTCAGAAATCTGCAACACATTTAATTTTCAGGAAGTATTTTGAGCATAACTTTTTTCTGCGGCAGCTTTAAATTTTCAGTATAAAGCTGATAGTCTCTACTAAAAAAATAATTTTGTTTCTTATTGTTTCTGTTGTTGGTTCATTGGGTTTTTTTTTAGCTCTCTGAGTCTGCTCTGGTAGAAAGTTTCCCTGTGATCCTACATGTAAATAACTGTCCTACTGATAATAAAAGCAAAAAAAAAAAAAAAAAAAAAAAAAAAAAAAAAAAAAAAAAAAAAAAAAGTTACATTACTGCTGGTATACTCCATGTCTTCTATTGTTTCTGTAAATTTTATAAATTGAAGAAAACTCAGTACCCAAGCAACCCTTCCTAGCAAAAAATAAAATACTTTGGAAGATTAGCAAAGAAAAGATACTACTAAGGGCTTCTTCTTTTGCTGTCAGCTATTTCATTATCCTACAGGACCATAATACTGTATTATTCTTGAATATTTGCTTTTAGGGAAAAAGGCAGATGACCCTTAAATCCCTCTTGAAGACACTTTTAAGCATGCCATCCCACTATCGCTGTCTGTGTGTGAGCCACCTCTTTGGATGGATGGCTTTTCTGTCCAACATGCTTTTCTTCACAGATTTCATGGGACAGGTAAAACATCAAATATTCTCATTACTCCTTCCTTGTAGCATCTCCTTCTCCATCAAAAAGAAATGAAATGGTGTTACTATCCTGAGAAAATTACACTGGTGTCAGAGCCATTTATATCAGGGTGGCTCAACAACTGTTTTGTAAACCAGCTAATTAAGGTCAGGCCCTTGTTCCAAGCCTGTCTGGGGAAATCACTGGAGAAAACTTTTAGTATTTGTAAGGCTGTTAGTGTCTAAATGTTCCAAGTGAAGCTCTCAGAGCTGGTCCAAACACATCCATTTCCTGCTTTGGCTTCAGAGCTGCTCCCAGATGGGTAGCTTTTCTAGCTGGGGCAGTGTTTGGATGCAGCTGGCCTTGCCCTGGTGTGTGTGCAGCATCCACACAAAGCCCCTCCCCTGCACTGCAGCCTCCCTGGCCTCAGGCCATGCAGCTCTTCGCACACAGGGAGCTACTTGGTAGGAAAAAGTTTTATCTTCCAACATTTATCTGTCCTGAATCCCTTTTCTCAGAAACTGTTTGCCTTCACTACCAGTGGTGCCTTTTCAATGCCATTCCCAGGGACTGTATATCCTTGACAGTTATTCTTACCTATATGGATGTCTCTGGCTTCTTCCTCCCAGAGTACGAATATGGTCCTGGCACAAATCTCTCACTGCCACTCCCTGCTGTATTGTGGTTTCCACACAGTATTCCCATTTCCTTGCCTTTTTTGTCTTTGTAGGCAAGACAAGAGGCAGGGTTGTTTTTTTTTCCCTGCAGTGTAGATGAACAACTGAAAGAAAAATGTTTTCCTTGTCTAGAAAAGTAACTGAATAAGACAATAACTGTGTGGAAAAATGAGTGTGTTGATGAAAACCTGAAAGAGAAAACAGAAAAAAAAGTAGATAATTGGGGCAAGAAAGGCTAAGGCAAGAAGGCAGAAGTGGAGAGAGAAAGTTAGTTGGAAGTGAGACACCCAAAAGATGGAAGAGCAAATGAGTCAATGTAAAGTAGACGGCCCAGGAAAAGGCAGAGGGCAAAAAATTAGGAGGAACCTGGGATACGATAGTCCAGGAGATGTGAGTGTGAAACCTGGAGAATTACAAATGGGTGGTTAGGACACTGCTCAACAGATTTTTTGGATGCTCCCTACCAGGGATGGGGCCCATAAGATGAAGGAATTCCCTGCATGGAGCTATCCCTGCCTTCTGTGAGTTTTGTGGTCTCTTTCAGGTTGTGTACCATGGGAATCCCTACGCACCTCACAACTCCACACTTTACCTTACCTACAAAGCAGGGGTAGAGATGGGATGCTGGGGACTGTGCATCAATGCGATTTCTTCATCAGTCTATTCTTGTAAGTATCCATGAATAAACTCCAACACTGTGTTTGCTGTTTACCATTGTTCAAAAACCATAAAGAGATGTCAAATTACCTGGATTTTTTTATACATTAAAGCTTTAAGGAATGTTACATTCTCAGCATTGTCAGAAACTCATAACGTAGCACAAATGGTTCCTGACCACATGATGAGGGGTAACTTTGGCAGTAGGACATTGTTCTGCACATGAACTGACCTTCAACACTGAAAATCATTCTGAAATTAAATGCCACACCAAATTCTTATGTGCTCTTTCCCCTAGCAATGCTGTCTGTAGCTGTAGGCTCTTGAAGGTAACCTCTCCCCATTTGCATTCCCCAGAAGCTTGAATCTTGCTCTCCAAAATTATGTGTAAACATGCTAGCTCCTCAGGTAGATTTCACCATAACTCATCCCAAGGATTAAAAAACTCATGATCCAAAAACTCAAATAAGTGGCATTTTGGGGGTTGATTTGAGCACCTAAAAGAGGCTTGAGGGAAATGTTTTCACCTTTGGAGCTTAACTGCAGGCATTTCTGTGTGGTCTTTCTGTGGATGAGTATCTATTAAGCACAAGTATCTCTGGGTGCAGCTGCAGTGTGAGCTGTAGGTTGAGCTCAGAGTGGTGTGGGCAAGTCTTCTTTGGCAAGTTTATACCTACAATAATTTGAGGTAATTTCCAAAATTGTTAAGATTATCTCCTTCATTGCATCTTACAAAATATTATTTTTTTCCTTAAAAGGAATAAAAAATTCCTGATAAAATGTGACCTATTTTTTTAATCTTATCAACATTTTTACTTTCTTTTCACAGACTTGCAGAAAGTCCTTCTGCCATACATAGGATTAAAGGGACTTTATTTCATTGGATACCTACTTTTTGGACTGGGTACTGGATTAATTGGCTTGTTTCCCAATGTCTATTCCACTCTGGCTCTTTGTTCACTCTTTGGAGTCATGTCCAGCACACTGTACACAGTGCCATTCCACCTCATTGCAGAGTACCACAGAGAAGAAGAGGTGAGTACAATGTCTCAAGAAGCATTAGGTTTATATCTGTCTGTGTCTGTTCAACCTGTTTTGGGGGTAAACTGGATAGAAATGGTGAGCAGCTTTTAATTTTAATTTTGAACTATTAATAATTACACATATGAATGGGAAGTTTCTGACAGAGGAAGCTAAAATTCTGGCTACAAACTCTCCAAACAGGCCTTCAGTGAAACAAATAATTATTTATTATCACATCTGAAGCCAATCACAGTACCTGTTCAGGCAGTAAGCAGGTAACTGGGTTCCACTTCTGCTGTCTTCAAGTCCTACCTTCCTTATAGCCTTCCTTCCAGCCATGCTAGCAGAGGACTTGACTTCTGAATACCTGAGGTTAATAACAAGCCTGTAAAGGCTGTCAGAATTTTTAGTTAACTGCAAAGTGTTACACAAGCTCTTAGCTAATAAACAAGTGCCATTCAAGTAGAAACAGCTTTATATAGTTCAGTATTAAATCATATGCCACATTCTCATTATCTTTCTAAATGTCTGCAGTTGGGTTTTTCCCCTCCACAGCCTTAAATCCTGTTTCCAAGGAAAATCTGGAAAAACTTGCACACTATGTATCATGTTACTGGGCACAGCAGGATCTTCATGTATTGTAAAGTGTTGAGTTCTTTAATGGAAAAATCCTCTCAAGTCTCCTAAGTTAAACAGCTGGAAACAAGAAAGATTAAGGAGAGTTGGAAGAAATTAGGAAATAATTTAGGTAAATATCTTGGGACATGTGAGGAAATAAATAAAGGCAATGTTGAACCATTGGAAAACCAAATAAAACATAGTTGAAAGCAGCACAGCTCTAGATCAAGTGCTAGACAACATGTCCTACTTTTTTGTACAGTAGGACAAAACAGCTGCCTTCACCAGCACCCTCTGAATGATGAACACAACAAAGCTCTTCTAATTATTCTACTGAGTGCTAGGAGGATGTCTTAAAGTGATTAAGTATTTCATATATATGATTCCTACTTTCTCAGTCAATTTCTTTGCTCCTTCCAGCAGAGAATGATCATGATGTGTTATAAACACAAAACAAAAGACTGAGAATGAGCCCAGGTTATGGTGTAATCTCAATTCTTACCTCAGGTCAGCCAACTCAGAGAGGAGGAGTAAATGCAAAATTTGTATCTGTTTCAAGACAGAAGTGAAATAAAATAAGCTAAAGTGTACATGAACTTTACACTTAATAGGCCAATATATTAATGTGTTATTTATAAGACTACCAGTTGTTTCTTGTTTGGTGTATGGTATTTGCTATGACAGATGTAAAATGACATATAATTCTATGTTAGATTTTATATTAATGGGTTGAGGTTTAGCTCAAATCTTCTATAATATACAAGACAGGGGAAAAAAAGCAAACATCAAGCATTTATTTACAGATTCATATACTTGTGGTCAGAACTACTGCCACATAGGAACATTGGGAACAGCCCAGCAAAATAAATACAATTCATTTTTCAAAGTGTCTAAAACTGGGACTTTATCATTTCAGAACAAGAAGCAGATATTTTCCCCCCACTATGCACGCTACCAGAATAATGTGCTGTGTTTTATAATGCTGCCATTTCAGCTCCTGTTCTGTGCTGCTGTTCCCTAGGATCCAAATTCGATTTTTTTTCTACTGGATTAGGAAGAGACTGTTTGTCTCCAGCACTTGTGAGCTTTGTGTAAGCAAGGTAATAGGGTTTGCAAAAAAAAAAAAAACAACAACATCTTAATGGCTAAGAGAATTTGTATACCAGAACATTGTGGTGCTGCTGGCCTGCAGTGTGGGAACTTCTTGTCATTGGAATAAAACCTCCTCAAGTTAACAGCCTATGCAGGAAGAAAATAAATATGTCGATTATCACATAATTTCCCGATAAAGCAGAGTAATTTCTTTCTGGGGAAGGAATTCCCAGAGATCATGTAGATCCTTCTCAGGGAGGGCAACCTGGAGCAGGCTGCCGGTTTGATTTATTCCAAGAGTGGAGACCCCACAACCCCTCTAGTTAACCTGTTCCAATGATCCACCAGCCTCACAGGGTGCTAATATGCAAGACACTTGTACATAATAAATGAAAGCTTTTGCTCTGCTATATATATCATAGCAGATACACAGATTAGTGATTAAGAGTGGGGCATACGAGTACTGCTGTAAAACCTCTGGATGTGGTTTCTCACAACATCCTTCCTTCTAAAGTGAAAAGATGGGTTTGATGACTGGACTGTTGGATAAAAAAATGGTTGGATGGTCACATCCAGAGGGTCATGGTCATTTACTCAGAATCCAAATGGATGTCAGTGACAAGTGGTGCCCTCAAGGATTTGCACTGGGACCAGTGTGATTCAATATCTTCTTTAATGCCATAGATTAAAGGATTGAGTGCACCTTTAGCAAGTTTGCAGATTACAGCAAGCTGAGGTGAGAGAACATACCTGAAGGATAGGATGTCATCCAGAGGGTCCTAGACAAGCTCATGTGGAACATTGCGTGGCCCACGGGAACATCATGAAGTTTAACAAGGCCAAGTGCTGGTGCTGCACCCGGGCTGGGACAACCCCTGGCACCAGCGCAGGCTGGGCATGAGCAGACCCAGAGCAGCCCTGCCCAGAAGGGCTTGGGGGTGCTGTGGGTGAGAGGCTGCACATGGCCCGGCCATGGCACTCACAGCCCAGAGAGCCAAACGTGTCCTGGGCTGCATCCAGAGCCCCGTGGGCAGCAGGGGAGGGAGGGGATTCTGCCCCTCTGCTCTGCTCTGCTGAGACCCACCTGGAGCACTGCATCCAGCCCTGGGCTCCCAGCACAGGAGGGACAGGGACCCAATGGAGTCAGCCCAGAGGAGGGACACAAAGATGGTCACAGAGATGAAGAACCTCTTCTCTGATGAATGGCTGAGAGAATTGAGATTTTTCAGTCTGGAGAAGACTTCAGATTGACATAATTGTGGCATAATTTGAAGGAAGCTTGCAAGAAAGATAGAGATTTTCACAGGGGCACATGGTGATAAGACAAGCAGGAATGGTTTCAAATTTAGAGAGAGTAAATGTAGGTTAGATATCAGGAAAAAATTTTTTAATGTGTGAGTGGTGAGACACTGGATCAGGTTGTCCAGAGAAGTTTTGGATACTCCATCCCTAGAGGTGTTTAAGGCCAGGTTGGATGTACCTTTGAGCGCCCTGGAAAGTGTCCCTGCTCACAAGAAGAGCATAGGAACAAGATGATTTTTTAAGTTCCTTCCAATACAAACCATTCTGTGATTCTATGATGATTCTTCGATAATATGATAGTAAGGCTCCTTCAGCCATGAGTCAGAGCCAAGTTATTTATGACAGGATGACCTGTACTGTTAAATGTTTGATAGAGATCACGTTGACCTGAACTCGAAAATAATATATAGGTTTTCCAGTCAATTTTCAATTACTTCCTTAAGGGAAAGGATAGAGGGAAAAACTGCAGATGAGAAAAAATTTGGTGGAAGCTTGAAAAACCTCACTGTTACTGTAAAATCTCTATGGTAACATCTGTGGTATCAGGAGCAGCAAGCTATTGATGTGTCCCGCTGCCCCTGGAGCTGTAACAGTGTCTCAGCCAAGAGCTGCAGGTTGCTGACACTGCCTTTTTCTGGGGTTTGTTCTGTGCTTCTTTGCAGAGCCTGAAGCTGCAGGAAGGGGAGCAAGCAGGGGAGCAGGGGCGAGGGAAGGGCATCGACTGTGCTGCCCTGACCTGCATGGTCCAGCTGGCCCAGATCATTCTCGGCGTGGGCCTGGGGCTCCTGGTTAGTGTTGCTGGCAGCGCTGTCACAGTGATTTCAGCATCCACGGTGGCACTGGTCGGCTGCTGCTTCGTGGCTTTCTGCATTCGGTACGTGGACTAGGACTGCAAGAAGCAGACGGAAGGGATCTCCCCAGGGGAGCATTTTCTTTCTGGGTCAGTAGCACTGGTGCTGTTGCTGTGCTGACGCTGCTGGCATGTTGTCCTCTCTTACCTCCTTGGATCGGTTGCAATTCCAGAGCTTTATGAAATGGAGACTTGATAAAACTGGTTGCCTTATGCCTCAGACACACACACACACACACACCCCCACCAAACACACACCCACACACACACACACACACACACACACACACACACTCTCTGTCTTTCTCCCTCCACAGTGTGTTCACATGCTGTGACATGTGATGGTGTGTGTGGCCATGGTATTTTTATGCTCTACACTGGGCGTCATTATGAAACTCCTCATTACCAATTTGTGAAAGTTAGTGAATGAAGAATGTGATAAATTGAAGTAACATAAAAGGACAGAATTAGGAAGAATGTTTTTATTTATCTTGTTCTTCAAGTGTCCTAAGTTGGGGGGTGTTCCCTCCAGTAGTCAAAAGCTGCAGGAGATTCAAACACGTGTCAGAGGCCATGCAGGGTGCAGTTCCGTTATGATTAAAATGGGATCAGTTAATTACCAGCTACTGTCAAAAGCAGATTTGAGTGTGAAAAATTACTCAAATATAAAAAAGATTTAAGCCTATTGTATAAAAGCATTACTGTAAAGTAATTATTTTGTACTGGATCCTGCTGGTTCTATATGAATGAAGTGAAAGTACTGGCTGAGCTTGTCAGGAAAATCTGTTTAAAGCTGCTTTGCAAATCCATGTATAGGTACCTACCTAAAAATCTATCTATGGGAAACAGCTGCCATTTCTTCCTCCTTTAAAAATGGCCTCTCAGTTCTGATGCTGTAATTGAAAAAATAAACTTGGCCAATGTAAGAATTTGGTGGCTGGTTGACCACATAAATCTTGACATTGGATATGACAGCATTTACCTTAAAGTAGCATCTCTCTTTTCTCTGTTTTCCTTTATGCTTTGACTGAAATGGCATTTGCTCTCTAAAGAATACTGTAGATAAATTCAGTTCTGCAAAGCACTGTCAGGAATTATTGTACAGTACATACATAATCCCACTTATTTGTATTTAATTGCATAAGAAGCTTCCTTCTTATTTTTATAATATTGACAGGGTTTTGAAAACCTGTTTATGAAAGCAATATATTGTATTTATGCTGTGCTTCTTCTGTCCTGAAAACTGTCATATCCATCCAGTATGTTATATGTTAAGCCACCTGAAGCCATCTGCTAATGTTATTAATGAATATTGAGAGACTATGGGCAAGTATGGTGTTTATGGTTGTTTTCATTCTTAATGTTGCACATGTATCATTAGCACTGTTCAGAGAAATCCAGTGTTGAGCTTATCAGCTCTTAGAAGCTCTGCAATACACAAACTGAGAACACCAAACATAAACGGTTACATTTGAGCATCAAGTGCCTTTGCAGAGATGCATCAGCTTCATCCTTTTTCTGTGTTTTAAAGAGTAGAGTGAGTCACATTGTCTCAGGATAACCAATTTCCCCTTATGTAAATTCTTATTAATTTTAACAAGCCTGTGGGATAGCTTTTCTTGATGATCATCTCCACTGTAGGTCCCAAAAGGGGCTCAGTGCATGGCAAACGTCACCACAGCATCTGCATCCTGCCTTTTGAAGAAGCCATGTTTTATAGTTTATTTTGCTTTGTGGCACTTCATTTCACACCCATTTCACACCAGAGAAAACCTGTGAAAACAGAGCCCCTGCACTGTGTTTGAAACAGTTTGCAGGTGCTGAGACAGCTGGAGCATGAGGGCCTCAACAGGCACAAACAGGAAGAAGCCAGAAAATGAAGGATTCTTGTCTTTAGCTTTATGCCATCATTAACTCACTAACTTCCATTAACTCTGTATCTCCTGGGAGGATGAATTTTCAAGGGAGGAGCAAAGCATCTATGGAGCCATAAAAACAGATAAAGGAGGAATTGATCTGGTTTCATAGGACTGCACCATGTAAACTTGTGCACCAGGAGCCGAGGTCATAAAGCTCTGATTCCACTGTGAGATTGTGAAAGAAATTCTGCAATATTTTCTTTGAGGTTTAACACCATTAGGACATTAACATTTAAATGGTCAATGTTATCCCTGCTCTGTTACACAAAGAGGATGCTGGCCCACGAAGGGACCATTAGATCTGTGGCAATGTAAGAAGGGTTCTGAACCTGCAGAGAGAAGTGAGAAGAGCCTATCATGTATATCACTGCTATTATTTACAGATTTATTCAGAGAAAATTGTTTCAGAAACCTCGTATTATCATTTATAACAACTGCATGATGTTTCCATTTAAAACCCATTGTCAGCTACAGAAGACAGAAACATTAAAGTCATCTTTTCTCTGGAAATCTCCATCAAAACATCCTGTATTGCTCCCAGGACTGCAAAACAGTATCTTTATGAGTCTTTGGTAGAATGAGCAAACTGACATAAAGGTATATACAATTTGGAAAACAGTGTCAAAAAAAAAAAAAAAAAAAAAAAAAAAAAAAAAAAAAAAAAAAAAAAAAAAAAAAAAAAAAAAAAAAAAAAGAAAAAAAAAGATGGTGCTCATGATGAAGTTGAAAATGTATCTCAAGTGTTATTGAAAACAATATAAAATGTTACTAACTTATAAAAGGGGATAAAATAAGTATTTCTTTTAGCAATATAAATGTTACTAATGTATGTTACTAATATATATTACAAATACGTGAAAGGGGATAAAATATTTATTTCAGAAAAAGAAATGCTAAAATGTTAAAAATGTTGAAGGTATTGAAGGATTGTACTGTAATGCTATTAATTTAAGAAGTTCCACCTCTTCTGTGCTTTTACACTAGTTCTGGACTTGAGCCATCAATATGATTATTGACTGTACTTAATATCAGCTTTATAGCAGTGAGTATAAAGTTACAAGTACCCTGTGCCTGATCTTTCTCATCTGGATTTATTTCCATATACATAAAATAAAATAAAGATCCTCTATGTATCATGTTTATGCAAATGATACACTTAGATGAACCACATAGAATCACAGGATGGGTCAGGTTGGAAAGGAACACAGTGGGTCATCTGGTCCAACATCCCTGCTCAAGTAGAGCCATCCCAGAGCACAAGGCACAGGATTGTGTCCAGAGGGTTCTTGAGTGTCTCCAGTGAAGGAGACTCCACACCCCCTCAGTCACCTCTCTCAGGGATGAAGAAGTCCAGCTCTCTCAGCCTTTCCTCATGAAAGGGATGCTCCAGCCCTTTAATCATTCTTGTATCCCTCCTCTGAGCCCTCTCAAAGATGAGATGTCCTGTGATAACAAATCCTCCCTCCCACCCTCACAAAAATAGTCATGGCTAAACAAAACGAGGCAGGAGACCAAGTCTGTCACCTTATCTTCATGGCACTTCCCTTTTTCTTTCTATTACAAACATCTGCCACTTACTCCCCTTTAACAAGCAGGCATGCGACACAAGCAAATCCTTAAAGGAACTTCTGGTCTCTTGTTTAGAGGACTTGAAGTCTTAGTAATGTCACAAGTATTCTGATTTTTTTTCCCCCATGTTCATAGTGCTCTCATTAAGTTTCTTTGACTTGCTTGAAAACAACTCAGGTGGCTTGTGGCAGATAAACCTTTTTTCCAGAAAGTCTTCACCCAGTCAGGATGAATCATAAATGTCTTTGCCTTGGGAGACTCACAGCTTTCACACTGGTGCCTGTGAATCACTACCAGTCCCTGCAGCATGTCAAAAGATGGTGAAAGTGAATGTGGCAATGGTGACATTTGGTATTTTTGAACTGTAGAAGGATTGGGTGGAAGTATCTGCTGTAAAATGTCTGTAAATTATTTTTGGCATGACAAAGCTATAAAAAACGAGCTATAAAACAAAAATTTCCCCTCTAAGTTTCCATCATTCATTTCCATTCTCTATCTGCTCCATCTTGTTTATTTAAGAGGCTAATGTTCAGGGTCTCTTGTTCAAGACTGAACTGTGAAAAATGATGAGTAATTTTTATGGGCCTGACATGACGCATCCACAAATGCTGAGGAAGCTGGCAGACATCATAGCCAGGAGGCTCATGATTGTCTTTGAAAGGTCATGGAGATCAGGAGAGGTGCCTGAGGGCTGGAAGAAAGAAAATGTCACCCACTCTTCATAACAGGCAAGAAGGAGAACACAGGAGACTGGATCCAGTCAGTCTCACCTCAATCCTTGGAAGGGGCAGAGGCCTCCTCAGGGTGCTCACTGATGACACAAAGCTGAGGAGCGGCCGATGCCACAGGGAGCTCTGCAGCCCTTCAGAGGGCCCTGGACAGGCTGGAGAGGTGGGCAGGGAAGAATTGTCTGAAGTTCCACAGAGGCAAGCGCAGTGTCCTGCGCCGGGGGAGGAGCAGCCCCTGGCACCAGTACAGCTGGAAAGCAAAAGGACAAGGACATGGGTGTCCTGGTGGACAACAAGCTGTCCATGGGCCAGCAGTGCCCTTGCGGCCAGGAGGGCAATGGTGTCCTGGATGCATCAGGAAGAGCATTGGCAGCAGGTCAAGGGAGGAGATCCTGCTCTTCTGCTCAGCCCAGGCCTCGTCTGGAGTGCTGTGCCCAGTTCTGGGCTCCTCGGTAAAAAAAACATGGAGCTCCCGGAGTGGGTCCAGCAGGGAGCTACAAAGGTGATCAAGAGACTGGAACTTCTCTCTTATGAAGAAAGGCTGAGCACGATGGACCTGTTCAGCCCCTAAAAGAGATGATAGAGAGGGGACCTCCTCAATGTCCATGTCTGCAGGGAGGGGTCAGAGGACAGACCAGGCTCTGCTCAGTGGTGCAGAGCAATAGGACAAGAGACAAAGGGCAGGAACTGATGCATGGGAAGTTCCACCTGAACATGAAAAATTTGAGAGTGATGAATCACTGGAACAGATTTCTGAGAGAGGCTTTGGCATCTCCCTCACAGGAGTTATTCAAGAACCTTTTGGATACAATCCTGTGCCTTGTGTTCTAGGATAACCATGCTTGAGCAGGAAGGCTGGAACAAATTAACACTGTGGTCCCTTCTGACCCGTCTCTCATACCCCTCCACTGGTTCCTTACTGCAGGGCTGCTGCCCTAGCATTCTCCGTTTTTGTGCGTGCTTACACAGCCAAGGAAAGCTGCTCGTTGCCACCTGTAGCACGGTTGCCTAATGCATTGCAGACCCTGCCTGCCCTATGGACATGCGGTGGTGGGAGCCCCCCATGGACACATTTAGCATCAAATGCGTGGCAGAATCTGGCCTTGGAAACCTTCAGTGCTGAAGTTAAGAGTCAATCCTGCAATGCAGGATTGCCATTCCCTGCTTGTTTGGCAGACGAGTTTTTGTTGCATTGGCTCACAGCAGCTACCATGCATCAGGAGGCAGGGGGACATTGGTGGCAGTACAGAGGGAGGCAGCATCAGAGTCTTGGACACCTCTGCTTTCAAGGGCCCTCTGCCCATTAGATGCTGAGAAGGAAATGTGACAAACAGCAGATTTGTGGAGTCTAAGCAGTGACAAGAGAGAAAGGATGCATTTCTGACAGAGATGCCTTTTGCTGAAATCTGGGAGCTTTACACTGGGGTTGCACAGCTGGCAGATCACTATATAAGTGCAAATGTATCTCAGATGATTAGGGTTTTTTTCAACATTCAGATCTGATTAAAAAAAAATTAGCATGCAATGCAGTTTGCAAATTGTTCAGTTTCCACAGATTTTGAGGGCGGAGGCACTTTTTTCTTTAATAACTGTCTCAGTTTCAACAAAACACCCAATCCTAATAAGCAGACCTTTAAGAAATATGTCCCAAATATTGTTAGATTGTTAGATTGTCATAACATTGGAAAACATGGCAATAAAGCAGCTTTTGAAACTATGATTCTCTCTGAGAAAAAGATGGCACCTTATCAAAGGGTGGTGTTCTTTTCTGGACAGCAATTTTCCATTTTGAAATATTTTCCTTGGAATTACTTTATATCAAGTGTGCTCAAAATTCAATATTTTAGTTTACATCTCTGAAAATGAGATCTGAAATTTAAATGAGATTCTTATTTTCCTTATTATGATCAACTGTATAAGCAGAGCAGTTACTTACTACTGCTGTAGGATCTCTTTTACCTTCAGTTCAGGACCTCATGGTTTGCTCTCTATACCTCTATATCCACCACTAGATTGGCCTATAAACAAGTGACTGGATTTCAGCAGGAAGTGACTTTTGATGGGCAAGAGGAAGACTGTATTTCCTCTAAGCACCCTCCAGCATTTCAGCAGAAATTAAAAGCAATTAAAACATTTAAAAAAAATCATTTAATACGTGATTTGAAATACATAGTAGTAGATTGAGAGCAAAAAATATGTAGAGGTTTTTCAGGATAAACATCAAACAAGACAGTCACTAATGCTAATTCTACTGAATTGTAACAAAGACATATCCGGAACAATCTATTTACTATCAGAAAATCACACAAAAGCACAGAATAGTTGGAGTTGCCTCTGGAGTTGACTCAATCCAAGCCCCCTCCTCAGCAGAGGATTGCTAAAGAAGCACAATCAGTGTTAAGTCAGATTCGGAGCATCTCCAAAGTAGGAAAATCTTCAGTCTCTCCAGACAACCTGCTCCAGTGTTTGATTGCAACATTTGAAAGGATTTTTTTTTCCTTCTTACATTTCAATTACGGAATTTCAGTTTGTGCCTATTGACTCTCATCCATTCCCTGGATAATACTGAGAAGAGTCTGATTTAATCTTCTTTAATCCCCACCCACATAGATACTTACACACACTGATAAAGCCTTCTGAGGTCCAGGCTGAATACCTCTAGCTCTGTCAGCCTCCCCTCATATGGCAAATACTCCAAGCCCTCTATCATACTGCAGCCTCCCTGGTAAATAATCCAGAACTGGGTAACCTGCCCAGGACTGGGCACAGCATCCCAGATGTGTCTCACCAGGCTGAGCAGAGGGGAAGGAGCCCCTCCCCTAACCTGCTGGCAGGGTCCTGCCCAGTGGAGCCCAGGATGCTGCTGGCCTGTGCTGCACGGGCCTGTTGGTGGCTCACACCCACCTTGTCCTCAGCTCCTTCTCTGCTTTCCAAGACTCCAGCCTGTGCTGGTGCAGAGAATGCAGGACTTTGTTATTCCCTTTGTTCAGATGCCTGAGGTTCCTATCACACCATTTCTTCAGCCCATTAAGGACCAGGGGTGGCTCAACCCCTGGTGTGGGAGTCACCTACCTGATTTCAACGTGCTGATCAGACTTCTTCACAAATATTGACACAAGTAATTTTCTACAAGATTCCAGTTTTATCCAGTGTGAGGTTCAGCTGAGTGAAAATGGAAAGGTTCATTGAACAATGATTTTAGAAGTCAGTGTTGAACAGGTAATTTGGCCATTGTACAACTGACCATACTCATTCAGCTGATCTGAAGGAAAAACACAAGTCCTTGGACCAACGCTATCTCATTGTCCCAAAAAATGGATGAGTAAGGAAGAGAGCTGGTATCTGAGTAGGACACCTTTATTTTGTTATTTCCCACAGTGAATATTAATCAGTGTATAATTAGTATAATTAGTCTTTTCCAACCAGGAAGTCAATGTTTGCAAAAGATTATTAACTAAAGAAACTGCTTCTGTTTGCAGCTGATCTTGTGGCCCAATTTTCTCAGCCATCCTATGAGTCTATATTTTATGGTTAAGATTTTGGGAAGGACTCTGAGTCTATGCACAGACATAGGCAGAGAAACCTGCTGATGAGTATTATCAGCTACACTTTAGCACAGGAATGAATTAACTGGCTACTAATGGCACTGATTGCTACTGGGATTGTACCAAGAAAAGATTATTTTAATTGCTTTCGTCATGATAAAAATATATTTTTCAGTAACCCCCTTTAAGTGGAAAAATAGGATTTATCTTTTGAGAAAGAACTCTCACTAAAAAAAGAATTTCTAAGCTCTCAATCTAATGTCATTGAGCTGCACCACATCCATATCTACTCCTGCTCCAGCTCAGGAATATACAAATTAGATCAGAGCTTCTGTGCACATACTCAATTGAATAAATCAATTTTAGAGCAGACAGTCATGAATGGGAATGACGGGGACTGGACTTTTTTTACTGCTAAAGTAAGTGCCAGAATAACTCACTGAGAAAGCGATACAGGATTTCCACCGCATTTCAAAGGAGAAGCCTGGAAATTCAATTGGAGGTTGTTATTATGTTAAGACCTTGGTTAGTTATTTAAGGAGCTGAGATACTTAAACGTCCCTAAAGAATTAAAGTCTTTGCCTAATGAGAATATCAGGTCTTTAAAAGTTCTCTCAGTTTGTCACTAGATGTCAGCCTGCACCTTCACGTCCCTACCCTTCTATAACCAAGCGCACCGCTCCACCAGCACCCCACCAGGCATCTGTAACATAAGGAGAACAAGCATGAAAACCTTGTCAAGAATTCACTAAGTATTGTTTTGTATCCTGCAGCAATGTTTATTTTAGTACATGAAAAGATGATTGTTACAAACGAAGACATAAACATTTGTAGGAAACTGTGTTTTTGAAGGGCTTTGTAGTCATTACTTAGGAAACCCCAGGATACTCAGTAGGATTTGTTGTTGTTAAGCTGGAATGATCCTCTGCTGAGGCCACACACCCCATGCACACAGAGCAACTGCACCTTCTGCCAAGACTAGGCTGGTGCCCCTGCCCATGCAATACACAGCACAGATATCAGGCTGTCAGCAGGGACTCATGGCACATGGACAGCACAGATGAAGAAAAATTTCTCTCTGCTTGTAGCTAGAGCAGTGCTTTTTGGCTGTGCTGGACATGCACTGACCTGCACAGCCTGGGCTGCTGGTCTGGCCTAAATCAACATTTGGCAAAGTGCGGATGCATTGTGCCTCTTTGAAACAGAAGATCCATGCCTTACACTTAGTGGATCAATGGCTTGTGAGAGAGCTGCCAGCTAATTTCATTGTCCAATCCCTACACACTCTCAAGGTATTTTCATGTTTGGGTCATTTGCCAAATGGGAGGCTTTTATATCTCTAGTGATCAGACACCTGGGGTTTTTGCTGACAATGTTACATTGGCACTCTGAGTTACCTATGCATTGTTCTGAACACCACCTGTTTTACTGTGTTGTTTCCCAGCACAAATTATGTCTACATTGACATCCACATAAGCACATTGTTTTTGTCATGCTGAGCACCACAGAGGCTGTCTTTCAGGCAGCTTACTATCTACTGAAATTCATAATTACACTTTAGACACTTGGAACACTGTTTATTCAATGCACAAGAACAGTTGAACATCAGATAGGGAAAAAACTTCCAGCAAGTTAAGCAAGAGATTACACTGTTCAAAAGCAAACATTAAGAAAAGCATCTGGCTGTGAGATTCCTCCCATGTCCTTAATTTAGATACTTCCTCCTGGCCTACAGAAACATGATTATCTCTCTCTCTCTCTCTCTGAACTCTGGCTCATGGTACCCTTTTCTCATACAACTGTGCAACTTTCTTCAGGTGCAATACACACATTAGGGCTTTCTCCCAGATCAGAAATGCAGATTTTTGCAAATCCTTTAGCACATTAAGCTGCTTTACCAGCAGGTCTATCAAGATTTCAGGTTCCTGGATAGCATACTGCAACTTCAATTGAAATAGGACCTGACAGCAAGTAAACCACTGTCCTTGTGAAGGGGAAACCTAGAGCCCAGATCTGGATCCAACTTCTATTCTGTATTTGATTAAAAAAATCTCTCCACAATTCCTCTTTGGAGATTACACCCTGACCACTGTGCTGCCAAGTAGAGTTTGAGGGCATTCTTTGCCCTTATGATCCAGCAACAGTGAGCAACTCAGTCAACAGGGAATGGTTTCAAGCCAGAGAATATGAGCACATTCACAAAGTAGCCCAGAGATCCAGCCATTCCCCTGGGATGTGGAAAATGGGAACTGAGTCTCTCATGCTATGAGGGATAGCTGTGACTACTAATTTGGCATTTCACAAGGGAGGGGGAAGGAGCATAATCTGCACATACATTGAAGCTGGAACAGAAGCAGCACATCCAGGCACAGATTCAAAGGGATGGGGGTTATGAGTTGAGTTCACAGCCACTTCTGACTTAGTGTGGCCTGGCAGAGGTCTTCTGTGTTAGGGTGCAGAGTTGCCACCCTCACAGGATACACACTGTGGCCAGTCCCAACAGAGATATCCCCATTAAGCACAGAAATAAGTGCTACAGAATCAAGCAGATTTAGGCATGCTCAGGAACAGATTTCTAGGCACATAATTTTTACTAGAAAAAACTTAAGTACCTACAGGCTTCACCGGTCAACCAAGTCAGGATTTAGGAGGTTAGAGAGGCAGTTGTACAGTACTTAGATGCTCAAGTTCTTCTGTAGATATATCTGATTTCTTTGGAGTCTTTGTATCTGTGTAAGTATGCCCATCAGCTGCCAGCTCGCTTCTGCTGTTCTTCTTCAGACAACTTGTAAATCAGTATCTTCCCCATTAGCAAATGCCCAAGGCTGGAGAAGTCTTTTCTGCCTTGGAAAGAAAGATAACAACTTCTCCTTGCAAGTAGCAGAACCAGCTGCTTTCAGACAAAGCATGATTTTTACAACAGGAGTTATCAACCTAACAGAGTCTGGCATAGCAGATTTCTCTGGACAGAAATAGTAAGTTTTCTCCATGTCAGTACTTAGAGGTGACAAACGACCCTCTGCCTTTTTAGAATCAGGCAGATGTTGGAGTTAGACTACAAGGAAAGGGGGTGGAAATAGAAAACCATTTTGAAAATTGTATTTAAATAATGACCTTATATGCAGTACTAGGGATTAATGAACTTGTGTTCTGAAATCAAAATCAGAAATGTTGCACTTTTCTATAATTTAAAGCAAATACTTTGATATTTTGATTTCAATTTTTTTCCTCATAATAAAAAAAAATATTTTAAGAAGTAGATATATAACCTTATCATAAAAACTTTCACAGCTTAAAAATACACTTTTTTCATCCCCCTAAAAGTTCTATTCAGATAAGCCTCAAATTATTTCCCAGACATTCCTGTGGAACAGAGGCTGGTAAAGGCCAATCCCTGACATTCTCTAGGCTACATAAGCACTGCAGAACCTACAGCTGCTCAGAGTAGAGGAACTGAACTTCACTGAAACACTGGCAAGAATCAGTGCAAACACTCAGCAGAACTAAAGCCTTTGTGCTTGGTTTTAAGTGAACCCAGAAGTATCCCAGAGCAAGTGATTTGAAGTGGCTAGGATTGTTACTTTCCCTCCTCACTTTTGTTTTTTAAATTTTATGTACAGTTGTGCTGATTTCCTGAAGTGAAATATAAACAGTCTGAAGTGCAGCAAAAACTAAGCTTGCAACCTCAGTGCCCTGGGAGAGATGCTGTCTTGCTTCACATGATCTGGGGCTGTGAGGTTTCCTTTCCCCTCAGTGGCCTGAAGAGAGGCTGGGGAACAGTATTAGGGGGCTTACATCATCCGTCCAAACACAGGCAAAGGAACACCCCATGAAGCTGCAAATTCCGTCCCTTAGTTTCTCCTTGGCTGTCTGGGTTGCTTTATAACCTGGCAGCATCTGAGGGGATGGAGGGGGTATCTAGAAAATCAGATCCTGCACTGATCTGGAGAGAAGCACAATGTTCCTTGTCCCTGCTCTTTCCTAAGTCCCTAAAAGTGGAGAAAGGTGTCCAGCCTGAACAAGCAGGTACTTTGTACCCACTTGTCCTGGCTGTTACCCTCAGGGTAGGTTTGAAGTAGAAGAGAGGCTGTCTGATCCCCGTGCCCTCAGTGGAGCTCAGGAAGGAGTGACCAGTCAGACCTGGCCCATTTACAGGGTCCTGCAGAAGGGAGAAAGCAGCTTAGCTCCCTCTCCCTGCCACAGACAAACACAAGGTGGAAGGGCTGCTTGCTGCTTACAATTGCAGCTTGAGGGGACATGGTTGAAGCCTTCCAGCCTCAGTCCACCCCAACCACCTCCTCACCTTCCTGTGCTGCTTTGCACATCCTGCATCTCCCTGGCTGGAGTCCCATCACCCTCACTAGTCCTTGCTTGCCAAGACAGGTACAGGCACTAAAAGGCATCTCATAGAGACACCCCACCACTACCTCCTCCTACTTCTGTTCTGCAGCTCAGGGTGCATCTTCCAGACAACAACGTCCATCACGTGTCTCCAATGGCAGACAAAATGGCAAAAGAGCATCTCTCTCACAGAAGTCCTCCTTTACTCATCACTCCTCCCCTTGTCCTGACCAGACATTCAATATCCCCAGGCTACATCTGGCACCGTGCCACCCCCGAGAGCCCTCTGCCATCTCAGCAGTGCTGCTCCATGGAGCTGGCAGGTAGCAGGTCATAGCGGCTGCTGTACATCACCATCCCAGGGGGGTAATAGGCCACCTCTGCCTGGACAGCTGCAGCATGGGGAGCAGCAGGGACAGGGTGCACAGGCATCACTGCATGTAGGGCCTGCTCCTCCTTCTCAGGCTTGGTGGTGTCAGTGAAAGGGCGCATGGCGGTGAGGGAAGGTGAGGTGATCCTCCAGAGGAGGCTCTTCAGTGCCTTGCGGAACTCCCTGCGCATGAGGCAGTAGAGGATGGGATTGAGGCAGCTGTTGGAGTGTGCCAGGCACACGCTGATGGGGAAGAGGTACACTTGGGAGAGAAAGTACTCATTACTGAAGGGGACCACGTTGAGTTTGATGAGTATCCCCCAGGTTGTAAGTGCTTGGTTAGGCAGCCAGCACAAGAAGAAAGACAGCACCACGATGGACACTGACCTAGTCACTTTGGAGCGGCGCTTGATGCTGGGGCCACTGCAAGTGCTGCCCACATGCTTGTCACTGATGAAGCGCACCAGGAGCAAGTAGCAAAGACTAATTATGACCAGTGGTACCACAAAGCCCAGCAGCACCTTCTGGATGTGGTACAGACCCAGCCAGAATTGGGCATTGTTGCCTCGGCCCTCTGGGAACTTGACAAGACAGAGAACATCATCAAAGACAGTGGCAGTGGTGGAAAAAATGGCATGGGGCAGGGAAGCCAGGACAGCTGACAGCCAGATGAGTGCACAAAGCCACTTGGCAGAGCAGCAGCCACCCAGGGGGTCTCCTCGACGCTGGTTCTTCAAGGCTGAAGCCACAGAGTGGTAACGAGCCACACTCATGGCAGTGAGAAAGAACACACTGGCATACATATTCATAGCTGTCACATAAGAGACGATCTTACACATTGCCTTGCCAAAGAGCCAGTTGAAGTCCAGCGCGTTCTCCACTGCCCAAAATGGCAAGGTCAGCACAAACTGGAAGTCCGTCACTGCCAGGCTGGTGACAAAGAGGTTGATGGAGGATTTCCTCCAGCCTTGCTTGCTTTTCATCAGGTAGAGCACCAGCAGGTTGCCCACCAGTCCCAGGGCACACACCACGGAATACACCAGCGAGATGACAATCCGCACCACATCAGAACTGTCCCCCTGCATCCCGTCGGCTCGCTCCAGGTTGATGGTCTTCAAGAAGTGCAGGAAGGACACGTTGCTCCCGTTGTCCATCTGAGCGCTCTCCAGGAAACCCAGCGGTGCGCCCCAGGACTCCCTGTCTGCTCCTTCCTTTATGCCAGCGGCTGGCGAGCAGACACCGCGCTCGCAGGGCTCGCCCATCCCATGCTAGGGTGGGAGACGGGTCTGCGGGAGCTTTTTCCCCAGAGGCTGACCAGCGGCGGCGGGCAGGCTGCTGGGGCGACAGCAGGGTCCGGGCACAGTGCGGTGCCGGCGGTGCGGTGCCGGCGGTGCGGTGGCACGGCGGTGCGGTGCCGGCGGTGCGGTGCCGGCGGTGCGGTG